TTTATTCTAAAACAAATCATGTGTTGTTCAGTTCATCTGTTTCTCTTTATTTTTTTTTTGCTCTCTTTTTACATATCTGTTTCAAAGAATAAATTACAATTTCCTTAAAACTTTCATTTATCAATGAAATAGGATATGATTTTCAACAGGTGAAGAAGTTAATACTTTTCTGTCTTTTTTTTTTGTGTTTGTACACTTAAATGCAATTTTAAATTAGATTAATGATTATCATCGCGTAATATCTGCGTTATTTTTAGTTTTCGCATCAACTGTATGATAAATGTTTGCCCTTTTAACACACATATTGTGCCATTAGACAACAACAATTGATAGATCACTATATCGGAGATTAATGACTTTGATTTTTCACACTTATCAATGAAAATTTATATTCACCTGTTTACTACCGATCATATTAAACAGACACAATCACCATAGACTACTGTCAATCACATAAATTGAAAGTATCTTATCAAACAAAAACAAAAAAACAAAAGTTAATGATAATTTACAAATCAGTCGATAACATAGAAAACGTCACCATGTATATTTAAATGAATCACAACAACGACATTTTTAAGTGAAACATAGATCATTTTAATATATTCACTCACTTCTTACACAGTGACATTTTGAAGCTTGTTTGGTCTCTAATTCACGAACGACTGTTCTGATTTCATTTAAACATGTAGATTAAATAGAACTCAAAAAGTTATACTAGCAGTTATTTTTAGCAAAAGTAACTGAAACCACACCGTGGATCTTCCGTACGATTCAATGAAGTATTAAGAAACTTTTGCTGTATAACATAGAAACAAAGTATAATCAAATGTACTACTCAGAAATTTTGCATTTTTCTGCGCCATTTGCACGAAAAAAGTCATAATTTGCTCATATATATATATATATATATATCGATGTTCGCTAGCTAGAACATAAGATAAAATAATAAATATTTTCGTCATTCGAGTGCTTATTATTATTAGTTTTTTTTTGTTAAAGAAGAAAACGCACATACACACACAATTTGTCAAAAAAACAAAAAAAAAAGAAAACAATGCAGAAAAACTGTCTTTTGTCTTTTTTTTCTTATGAAGCTTGTGGTGTCAATGGTAAACCATAAGACGATGCATAATATGGTGTTGCAAAATTACTTGTTTGTGTATAAGGAAAAGGATTAAAAAATGATGCATAATTCGTTGTATTATTAATTGATGTATTTTGTTGTTGTTGTTGATGATGATGATGATAATTTTGTTGATGATAATGAGATGTATGTGAAAATGGACTTTCTGAATTAGATATAATAGAATTTCCTCCTGTATAAGGTGATTTCATAGCTGATTCAAATTGTTGTTGAAATGTTGAATGATACGATACACTTGGATAAAAATAACGATGATGATGTGATGTTGATGATTGATCATAAGGTAACCATGTTGGTGGTTCAATTTTACATATTGATCCAGATGATGACAAAGTTGATGGTGTATTAACGGGTGAAAGATCATGTTTTGTTATTGATATTGTAGATGAAGGTATTGTAGCCGATACAAATGATGATGATGTTGATGGAACAGGTGGAGATGAATTTGAATCACTATGTTCACTATTTATTTCTCCAGTTCCATTACATGGTTGTGATAATGGACCAATTTTATTACGTAAAATACGTGAAATTGATGATACGGATGGTACATTAAATTTATCACATACATTATCTAATAATAATTTTTCACGTATTTCCCATGCAAACATACCAGGATCTTTAACTTTATAATCACGTATACGACCAACAACACGTGGTGTTGTTACACGAGGTTTACTACCACCAATAGCACCTGGCAATACAGAGCCTCCAACAAAAACAAAAAAAAAGTAACAAGATCAAAAAGAAAAATTTAAATGGTTCGTTCAAAAAACAACTTACCTGTTTCATGATAACGAGCAAGAATTTTACTAACACATCCATGTGAAACTTTTAAACGACGACTAATATCACATGGACGTACTCCTAAATTAGCCATTTCAACAATTCGTAAACGAATTGGAGTTGGTAATGGTCGTCCATTGACAAAAACTCCACCAAGTTGATTGACTTCTCCATAACTTTGACTTGAACTATTATCATTAAATGAATAATCGGCTAGAAACAAAATAGAATTGAACATTATTATCATTGAACGTCTTTTAATAACATGCAGTTCTTATTATCATTGAAAAATGTATCTCATGAATCGAAGATGATTACGATCATTTAGCAATATTGTGTGTATATGAAATTTGATCATCTATCATCTTTTTCTCGCCTGATGTGAGTTGATGACACTCTATTTCCTTCGGATCATATTTGGATTGGTTCAATAGAAAGAAATAGAAGAAAAAAAAAAACGATTATTTTGATCGATAGGCAATATTTGTTTAGATGAGTAGATGATATTTACAATTCAATTTTTTTTCATGATGCAACTAGACTATTGACTTGTATTATATTCGAAAAAAAAAAATTATTTCTCTTTTTTCTTATTTTTATTCTCTCAATGAATATTTGCAAAGAGTGAGCATAGAAATAAATGTTCCTAGTGTCACTGAAGTAAGGCATACGAAAAAAAAGCAATGATGAAATTTTTTTTTTTTTGTTATCTCACATATACAATCGTAATTCATCTATAGACAATTTACATACCCATTACAATTGTTGTAAGTTGTTGGATAGTTGATAGACAAGGTAGGTTGATCTACTTTGGCTACGCTCGATGTCCCGTGTTTGTACGTTAATTTACGGTTCGATTCGGTATTTTCGTTGCACTCGGTTTCACTCGAATTCACCTTAGGGTTGCTTGTTTTCAATTATACTTACTGCGTAGCTTTTTCTTTTTTATCACCCAAATCTATCTCTTTCTCTCTCTCTTCATCGCCTTTTTTTTTAGGGGGCTTGCACTAACATTTATTTCTCTTCTTCTTTTTTCTTTCTCTTCGTTCTATTACTTCTGCCGACCATTGACTAGCAAATATTTAGAGTTTTAGTTCTCTTCTCTTCTGTCGTTCGGGTTCTTTTTTGTATACGATGCACGAGCTTATCGTGCCATGATGTGTTTGAGAGAGAAAAAAATCGAAGAAAGATGAGCCGAGTGGTAATGATATATATCTCGACCAATAGACATACAGACAAGAAGAGAAAAATAGACCAATGAATAAATACAATGTATATCTATGAAAAGATAATAAATTGATTTATTAATCTCTCTCACTTTTCTTAGATTTTGTAAGTTGCTTAGATTATTAAAAAAATAGAAGACGAGATGAATTATTCTTTTTGATTTGTTGATATTATCTTTGTGGTTTTTACAAATACACTGACATGATTAAGAGTAGGTCAAACTGACCATCATTTTATCACTAGGAAAAACCAGATTTTGTTATTACGCTACTATAATTCTAGACTTCTTTGGATACGTATGTTTCTATGTACAAAAAAAAGATTGTATGATATAATGAAGATGATCAAATATCATTTACTAAGTACCATACAATGCTCTATAATAGAGAGAGCAAATTGACTCGATGACATTTGAAGAGATACATCGTATTCACAATAACATTATTTTCTCTTTCTCTCGTTGTCTTTTCCTATATTCATTGTTGATATTTAAATATGGTGGCAGACAAGCGAAACGCCGTTATATTTGCTTGCCAATCACGCGTATATCACTTCATTAGACAATTTTTCGAAAAAGTCAGATGGATATATGTGATACTCTTCAAAAACAATTTTTTTCTTTTACTTCTATCGCTCTCTCTCTCTTTCTCTTTCGATTTTATTATTAAGCTTTTGATGTCGATAATTGAGCAAGTATTTATAATATATTCTCGTCGAATAGAATGTCAAAATAACACTTGTTCTCTTTTCGTCTCAAGATAAATGTGTTGTGAAGAAGAAGACACGTGTTGAAAACATCAATGTATCAATCGTTACTGATTAATAAATGAAAGATGAGCTGCTTTCATTTTACTTTGCTTTGGTTAATGCCGACACTATATTACGAAATTTAAGTCGGCACAACGGCTAAATATTTAGAAAACAAAAAAAAAAGAAGAAAAAAATTATTCGTATAATGATTATTTGATCGACGAGAAATTTTCAATGGATGTGAATACAATCAGATGTGTATATTTTGAAATATTTGACGTAAAACAGATTAATGTTTAAATATGAGGGAAAGAAAGAAAATATACGTGAAACTATAAAATTCAGCATATAAACTATGAAAATAATCGTGTGAGATAGATATGTATATATCTCATTATCATTTTGCAACTGATTCATTACCTTCAATCAATTGTGAATAACACTAATGATTTGTTCGTCCTGACAAACACAAACATGTTTGTCGGCACGATGAATTAGGAAATTATATAGGCGGCAAAAAAATCTTTTCAGTTTCATTCAATTCAATAATATTGATATCGATGTATAATGATCTAGTAATTTGTGTTCTTTTTCAGTATCCAATTATAAGAGAATACAAGTCAGTATTCCGTTCTGGGTCAAATACACATAATCTACAACCCTTGGGCTAGTAGTTTTAGAAGAAATTGAGATTATCTTGAGGCAAATGATGAAAGAACGATGCGACTATGATCATATTGTCTGTTGTCTAGTTATCATGTATAAATACTTGGATTGCTTTTTTTTTTCTGCACGTGTCAAATGAGCCATTTGACAATAAACATCCGTAAAATGATGATAAATTTATATATATATATATATATATTCGAATATTTGTTTCCAATAATCAATAGATAGGTAGTGGTACTGTAAATGATTATGAATATGTATCTGTGTGTGCAACTCGATTAGCAAGATGAATGGGCAATATTATGTTAAATTAGATAAACAAATGGAACGGAAGAATTCAATGAATAAAAAGTAACCGGTACAGCTGAATGACATAATGTAGAAGATAATAATACTTTAGAAAATAATGAAATAATTTGTATTAAATAAAATCTTTCTTTAGTTGTTGTTTTGTTTTTGGTGCTACGAGTACATGTGTATTTTTATTTTTTGATAATGTTTGATATTTAATTAGTTGATTTTCATATCTAGTAAAGTCACCACTTTGTATAGGTTTATAAAAACGTATATCAGTTTGATCAATATTCAAAAGACGATGAGAACTAAACCATCCGATTTCTTGTGCAGTTGTCTGTGGAAAATTATAAAGTCTATTTGGAGGCATAGATGCACGTTGGATAATTGAGTGAAGACGTTCATCATCTTTGAATATATATTCATCAGGTTCATATTCATTTACTTTCGGCGTATAGAAATATTGTTTGAGATGATACTAATAAGACAAATAATAATATATACCGTTTAGAGGAAAAAGAAATTATTATACGGGATTGATGACAAAATTAGTGAAGATACGTCGTGGACATTGAATTTCACGTCGAAGTATGTTATGTTGTATTGATTTATTAGTTGTATTCCGTTGAATAGACATGTTCAATATTTTTCTATTGGTTTTCAATTGATTTTTGATGTAGAATCAATATTCTGAAAACAAATGCGCGCTTTTCTTGATTATTTCAATATCTAATTTCTGATTAAGATTTGCACAGTGCTGATTAGTTTTGTGCTAAAAAAAAGATTGATTTTTTTTCAATTTCGATCGTATTTTACCAGGTTTTCCTCTATTGTTTGAAGACCAGGAGATTGGGAAACTTTTCTGAAGAAAAGATCGACTAGTTCGAAGTGATAAAAAGAAAGAACACCATAGATCTCGGACTTCGATAAAGTAACATGAGACTGGGAAATATGAAAAAAAGAAGTTTTTTTCTAATATTCCATATCATCTAGGTTTACGAATTTTACTATTGCTAAACATACGAGTTCATTTAATTTTCTGTTCTATTTTCATTCTTAGTTTTCAATAATGATCAATTCGAAGAAATAAGTGTAAGTGAGTGAGGGTAAGATCGACACTTCATATTCAATTATAGATATAGTAGTGTAGAATTTAATGCAAACAGGTTTTGAGCTTTTCTTCTGGAAAATTTTCGAAATTTTCTCCAACAAAATTACAAAGAATAGATCTTGAATAGTATTCTTTTTTTGTCCAAGATTATCTCTTTCCTTCCATCTTATTGCTCATATAGCAACATTATTTTTTTGCTTCCAGTTTCACTATCATTATTTTGCGAAACCTTTAAACTCTTTCTTTATAGATCAATTATCTCAGTTTTTTCAGGAACTATGACTATTTCTCTTTAAACAGGATTGCTAGGAGATTCATTACCGTATGTAAGGTTTTATTTTCAAATATTAATCTTGTTATTGTAGAAAAACCTCATAATTGATACTTCCATGACGTCTGATACATGCGATTTATTTTGCTGATTGTTTTTATCGACTTCTATTCGTTTTGTAGCACAATTATTCTAAAGACATCTCGAGAGTAAGTCTTATTGGGATATAACAAACTGCATATGTCTTCCAGTATATAGGATCGATGTAATTATCTGAAAAAACAATTACGATATATTTTAGAGAATAAGAAAGGTTGAGTTAAACAATTGGAAACAGTGATACATTACATAAAAGTCTTGTTAATAATGATTTAGTTGATCTATCGATCGTTTTTATTAACAAGGTACCAATATTGAAAAAAATTTAAAATGTAATTATGAGCAACGTGAATAGAAAATTGTGACGCATAGATATTGCTAATACGGATTAAATAATATCTTGTTCGAAAGTTATTTTCAAGAAAAAGTTCTATTGAAGATTATCTTCGAACTCAGTTTGAACATGAAATCATAATTAAATTGGAAAGGTTTTAATCAAACACTTGAAAAAGAATACAATGATAAAATTTTTATGAGAAACATAATTTTGAACAAAGCCTAGTCAAGATTTAGAGTAAGAATCAAAATAATTAAAATTGATTATGTAGCAATGAGAGATAAATTCAATATTTAAATAGAACGATTGAGGGCTGATGGCAAGGCTACGCACCTTTATAAGCTGAAATTTTCGTTGTTCGAGTTCATCGATTTTGGATAAATAATGCATACCAGGTTGGCTACTTAAAAGCTTGTTCGCACTGTTACTTCTTAAAAAATGACTGAAAGGAATTCTTTGAACCTTCAAATAAACATTAAACTGACATGTAATTTTTTCGTCAGATAATCTTTAAAATTGTTTAAGTGATTGTGAACAGTTTTAACATGATTATTCAAATTTTTATTTGAAATACAATAAATTATTTACTACTAATAAAATACTTGAAGATAAAAATCAACTTGACTTAAATTCATTCAAGTAATCTACAAATGTCAGTTTGTCATTCGCAACTCTGTTTGAATAATGTTTTCAACTCAATATTCATCGATTTCTTTACCTGTGCTCTTAACGAATCATAGTATCTACAAAGGTTTCCTTTATATTAAGGAAAAATATTTGGTTATAAATCCATTATTTTTTATTGATGTGACTGAAAAGCTTGAGAAATAAGTAATGCTTATTAAAATTCTTACATCGCTAACATCTATGACGTCGTGTTTTAACATTCAGTGGTCATTTTCTTAATGCAAACAAAAATTGATAATCGCAAGGATTAGTAGTAAGAACTTATAACAGTTAAATCCTTGACAACTCATGCCAATAAATATGGGTCGGTTCCAGTCCGAGAAGTCCACAAAATGGTAGGATTCCGGAAGGTAGAGTCCAGTAATATTATTCGGTGTCGGACTAAAATTGTTGGTAGACGATGATTTTCTTTTGATTCCACCCTCATTCTCATCTCCTCCCAACTTCCACGCTGAATCAGACCGACGTTCACACAAACATTCACATGAAATAAGAAAATTCTTCTGAAATTATCAATAATAATACTTCTTGTTGAAGTTCTGGAGGATTTTTGACAAGACTATTATCTATGTTGATCTTATGATTACGAACGATGTGTGCTTCTCATTAGTGGTGACAGAGAAATAAAGTTATTTTCTTTGAGCGTTTGTGCAGTTGTTCAATATTCTGTTCAATTAAATAACTTTTGATTCTTTGTTTTTCGTATTTTTCTAACGAGGGAACATTCCCAAGTGTCACATCGCTTTTGAGTTCAGACTCTATGC